AAAAAGGGCTCGTCCGGGATTTGAACCCGGGACCTCTCGCACCCAAAGCGAGAATCATACCCCTAGACCAACGAGCCGCCGATGGGAAAAGCTCTTCCAGTAGCTTACTTATTCCTCGCTGTACGGAAGCAATTTTTCGGTGTGTTTTCTTCTGTCTCGTTTTGCTTTTTGCTTGTTTGTTTCCTTTGAAACTTTCTTTAGTTACTGAACCGTGATTTCCCGGCTCTCGCCTGATTTAAACAACGCCATGACTGACACAATTTAAAGCGGAAGAAACCCCGCTGCAGAATCTATTAAAATGCCTCCTAATCCAGCTTTTTCTAGGAAGGGTGTGTGAATTGCAAATCTACCCTTCACCACCGATCTCCCCCCCGCCTGAATTGTTCTAGCATTGAGCGGCAGAATTGAAATGATCCCATTTTTCAGGGCTTAACCACAAAATACAAACAACAAAGGTTCTGGAGTGCCCGTTGATCTAGGTGATGTGGTTGTTATACAAAACTGGAATCTTGCACAAGCTTTGAAATGCTGTCGTTGCTGACTGACTGCAAGATTACCAAAAAAAAAAAAAGTCAATCCTCTCCAAGGTAGGAAAAGCAAAAGGCGAAGGGGGAAAAAAAAAGGGAAGGCCCCAGCGAGATTTGAACTCGCGACCCCTGGTTTACAAGACCAGTGCTCTAACCCCTGAGCTATGGAGCCCACATGCTACAGGCTCTCCTCTTTCCTATAGATAAGGCTAACGCTCCTTTCGCTAGTGCCTTATGGAGTTAATGCCAATTCGTTCTTCCCTAAACGGGGAACCATCTTTAGAGCTTAGCCAAGGATTCCTCTCGAATAAGCCCTACATTTTGTCCCTCCGCATCTGCAGAGGCAGCAGCTCCACGATAAGTAACCCAGAAGCACTCCCTGCTGCTTTAATATACATACTTTGGAGGGGAAAAGAGACTGCGTGGAAACAGTGCCTCCTGCTGTCTTAGAAGGAGACTTGACGGCGCACAGTTCTCCGGCAAATAAAAAAAAAAAAAAAAATCCTATGGGCTCTTGCATATACACGGTATTTGACACGTTTACTGCTCCTTACGGTTGACCCTACTTCCTTGATTCCAGAGAAAACTATACTTTATTTTTCGAAAACTAGTTTTTTTTTTTTTAACTTTCTTTTGGTCACTTACGGTACGAATGTATCCCTTTCAAGTTCATGGGAAAAAATAGGGAAGTGAAATTGTCCTCTTAATGAATGTACATATACTTGCTCGATTTTAGATATTGTTATTAGAACATACGTTTTTGTAAAATTTGCCTTGGGTTTGCTCTTGAATTTTCCTTCGGTAGAGCAAAGTCATAAACAACTGTAATTTTTTTATCTTTCAGATTTGACTCTTTTTTCAGGCTTGTTCTGATTGTAGACCCACCACAGCTGCTATTAAACCATAAAATAGGCCTAATTTTGATTTTTTTTTAAAAAGACCCAAATCTTCCTAAGAAAGAGCAAGGATTCCTCATCCTTTTGATACCCCTGAGCAATGTGGCTTTGAAGTGACTCTGATTTTGTTCCTGAGTGTCTTAGTCCAGCCTACCCCACAGAACTGTTATGGGAAACCCCAGAGGAGAGAATGCTGTGTGTACACACACACACTAAGCCTCTGAAGAAAAAGTGGGGGTTCATTTAAATGCAATCCACTATTCGGAAACTTACTCTGGCATTTCCAGCTGCAGGGGAGAGGGGTGTTAGGACTTCACTGATAGAAAAGTCAAAATAGGCGGAGGAGCTATGGGGACTTAATACAATATGCAAGCTTGGGTTAAAAGTATATGCTAATGGCAAAAAGCCACACTTATGGCTAACGGAGTTTCAGATCAGTACACAGTAATGGATTAAGGCCAGGATTAGAAATACTGGCAGAAAAAGGCAAAGGGGATAAATCACAGATCTCAAAAATTGTAGAGGGATATAATATGTAGATGATGGTAGCATTGATATCATATATAATCATACATTAAAGATAGGATATATGCACAATCAATAATCTTCCTTCCTTCCCTCCCTCCCTCCTTCCTTCCTTCCTTCCTTCCTTCCTTCCTTTCCTTCTTGAAGGACTCAGACAAGCCAACATATATAGTTGAGAACCTGCTCATCTTTCCCTTACCCAGAAGCTGAAGAGCCTAGCAATTAAATCTGACTCCTGAACAACTATATACCCTTGCCACACTCCTTAATTGGGTGTGGGGCAAGTCCTGGGGTACAAATTCAGTTCTGCTACTCCAAGCACACCCCATTGCTGTTTTCAGCCCTACACCCAGTGGTGGGATTCAGCCAGTTCGCACCAGTTTGACAGAACCAGTAGCTAATTTTTTGTTGCCCAGACCCAGAACGGACTTCCGGAAGCGGCATCCACGCAGAGAATCGGTTGTTCACATATTTGAATCCCACCACTGCCTCTGCTGCCTCAGGCCAAGGCCTCTTCTGAGTAATGTCCAAGAGCAGGAAAAGTTGGAGCTTTTCTTCATTGCCCATGATGGCAATGGTGATAATTTGGAAATGATACAGGGCTGAGTTTATGCCCAACCTGTGTACCAATTGTTTAAAATAACACTCCGCAATTCCCTCCCCCCACCCTTTGCTAGCCATGAGAACATCAAGATAGGTTTCCTAAGGCCATTTTACTCCAAAGGGGAAAAAAAGAAAAGAAAAGAACACAATATGGTCCAAGCATCTTGATAAGAACCAGTTTATTTACATGGGGACATGTCGAGTCAGCATGATTTCAGGGTTGTAGGGGTTTACAGGAGAGCATGTTAAATCCACACCTAGATTATCAATATTGTATTTCCCAAATGTGCTTCTTCCAAGCCACGCCAAAGCTCAGTCAATCCCAGGTCCCATTTCAGGATAGATTCTTGTAAAGCAAGTCCACAGCATCCCACCCAACGGATGGGACATTCCAAGCTATTTGGGATGGGCAAGCAAAGCCCACTGAATCCCCACAATTGGCAACTTTAAGACTTGAGGACTTCAACTCCCAGAATTCTGGGAATTGAAGTCCATAAATCTTAAAGTTGCCAAATTTGAAGACCACTGAGCTAGACAAAGAGAACGGCTTGCTGTTCTCTGGGTGTACTTATACAAGGGCTGCGGAGGGAGGGATGTTTTCAGGGATCCAACCGCATCTTCCAGATTTATTTGCAAAAGCCTCTTTACCAGGAGCAATCAATTCTGTGCCCCAGGGTAGAGCAAGTGCAGAAAATCCTCAAGGCCACACCAAAGAGAATCTTCCTTGCATTCAGGAGCCAGTCACACATCATTTGCATTGAGATATCCCAAAGTCCCAAGAGCTGAAGCTAAAAAAAAATAAACTTAACAAAAGTAATTATTTTGTAATAGCAAACAGAAGTATTAGCTCTAATTTTGTCTGATTCTGTAGGATGAAATCTTTCTTCAGCTGCCCCTGGGAACTGCACAGCATGTGGGCATGTCATATTTTGATGCCCCAAGCTATTCTCTTTCCTCCACAAAGATACCCTGAGAGCAGATATTTTACCCTCTCCTGAAGTCTCTTGACCAGCTGTCTTTCCTACACCATGGTTTAAGAACCATGTTTATGTGGGGTTCTTGATGCTCCTAGAGTTTGGTTGTTTTCTTGATTGTTTACAAGCAGTAAACGATACCCCAATGAAAGGAACTACCAAATGAGACAAACAATCAAACAGTAAAGAACAGCCTAATGAAGGAAACCAAGAACACTCCCACCAACGGTTGTATATAAACAGAGTAAACCCCACTCCCTTCTAGCACTGATGATGTTACCTAGCTGGATAATGAAACGTCTGCAAGAAAACATCCACGCTCAGAGAGCACTAAGGACCCCCACAGTTCAACCCCGAGTTACAAATATTCTCTTCTGTTAGTATCAGTGTTCATATTAACGTCGAATCAGAGACCCTGCTGGAGAGAATGTACTGGGCAAGGGAAAGCCTTCCATCCACCACTTCCCTGTTACAAATCATCACCTTTTAAACCAGTGAAGGCGAAACTTTTAGAGACCGGGTGCCCAAACTGCAACCCAAAACCCACTTATTTATCTCCGGGTGCCAGGTGGGTGTGGCCCACTGGGTGGGCGTGGCTGTGGTGGTCATGGCAGATTGGGTGGGAGTGGCCAAGGTGGGCGTCATTACCTCAATGTTGCTCGTAGGGAGGGACGCCTGAGGGGCGGGCAGGGTTGGGGGAGATCCAGGGGGTCTCTGCCAAGTGGGGCGGTGGGCAGGAGGCTCGTCCTGCGGGGTGAGGCGAGGCAAGGCGAGGCAGGGTGGGGGTACCATTGTCACAGGGCAAGGTGTGGCAGGGGCGGCTGCTGCCTGACACCATCAACCTCTGCACACAGAGGCCAGCGAGCGCATGGGTGCTGGGATGTATTCGGCCATGTGGGACCTCGCCGAGTTAGTGGGCGGCTGGTTGGAAGAGGGACGGCATGGCCTGTGTGCCCACAGAGAGGGCTCTGAGTGCCGCCTCTGGCATGCGTGCCATAGGTTCGCCACCACTGTTTTAAACTCTTTTGGAGGAAAGACATAGTAGCTGGGGGGGGGAGACAGCCCTGTATGCAATTTTGGCACACTCAACCCTCTCTCTGTCATATTTATTCCCTACAGCTATTTCCAAAGGAAGGGGGGGGGGAATTACACCTCTTCTCAATATTCAAGACAGGCGAGATGCAATCCTACCTAATTGTGTGATAGGATTGGGTTAGAAGCAGAAGCTCAAACATCAAGCCTATTAACAGGGCTGCACGCCTGGATAAATTGGTGGCATCTTCTGCAGCTTTCCCAAGATTTAGTTTTCAGCCCCACTGCCAGCTTCTCCCATCTGAAAGTGGCCAGTTTTTTTCCTCACCTATTTTTCCCACAAAGCCTTGTGTCTCCCTTGGAGGTCAGCCTCATATTTCAAAACAAGTAGCATTTGCACCACCACGGCTTCTTCCTGCTTCTGTCAAGGCATCCTTTCAATCTCAGCAGCAAAGTTTAATATAGGTTATAGTGGAGCACACCGAGAAGAGCGGGAACATCTTTTCTGTGAAGGCGATGTTATAGGTGAAGAGGTGTTGCATGGTGTCAGCGTTGTAGAAGGACACTTCTTCTCCTTCGTAGTCTAAGTAGACTCTAACTTTAATCAGCTTCTCGTTCAGGAAAAGCGGGGTGCGTTGAGGGGTGGTGACTGCCCAGTATTGCCCCCCATTTTGCTGCAGGGCCCAAATGCCCTCTTCGGGGCAAAACTGAGTCAGCCCTTTCCTTCTCACCGACTCCTTGGCCACGCCAAAGGCCCAACCATCGGCAGACCCCACCTCCACCTCCCAGTAATGCCGCCCAGACTTGAACCCTTCCGTTGCCAGGACTCGAGAATTGGTGTCAAAGCGTTTGGGGTTGTCAGAGAGGTCTTGCTTGCGGCAGCCCATCCGCACCGTCTTGAGGTCCGGCGAGATGAGTAGGAGATGGTTGGCCGTCTCCGGATCCAGAAGCAAGTCCTCTAAGTTGAAGCACATAGCACTAGGTCAACGATCACAACCAGAGTAATAGCAAGCAAAAGCAGCAGCCAAGAGCGGGTGCAAAGGTCTGTGTGTGAAAATTAGAGGGTTTCCCTTTCTTTTGTTGACTATTTTGTTTTGTTTTCATTTTTTCTTTTAAATAAAATGCTATGCCTAGATAGAGTCAGCAAGTAAAAAAAGATTTTCTCTCCTTACCAGGGGTGAGGAATTATAGCCCTTTTACAATCTGTGAACATGTGCATAGCTCAGGAATTCTGGGAGTTGAAGTTCACAGATCATAAAGGGGCCATCGTTCCCCACCCCTGCTTAGACCAAGGCAGGCCATTGTAACAGTACTGAGCAATATGTTCATTTTTCACTTAAATCTCTTTGCTTACTGGGAAACCCCGAATATTTCCATCTGAACCTATTTGAACACTCCCATCTATTAATTGGACATGATTTGCCTTGTTTATTATACCAGCACCAAAAATGGAATTCTTTTACAGATAGTCCTCACCTTAGGCCCATAATGGAACCTGTCCATTACGGCTGTAAGTTGTAAAGGTCATAAAGTGATAACCTACGTGACCGACCCAATTTTATGACCTTTGTTGTGGTGGTCATTAAGCAAATACCACAATTGTAAAGCGAACCCTTGTTCACTGTGGGCTAGTTTTGCCAAACATCGGAGGTAAATGCTGGTTTTCTGCAAAGTTGTCATAAAACACAGTTGTATGTCCACTGGACTCTGCAAATGGCTGTAAATGCAACCACGTGTAACGTGGTTTTGTGAATACAGGGAGGTGGGGATGGAGGGCAGCTGTTGGAACTTAAGAACAGAGATATAAGTACCCCTGGGAGGTCTGTCATTATTTCAGTCATTAAGTGATCAGTTGTAAGTCAAGGACTACTTGTAGCAAGTACTCCATTATTGAAACATCACTTTTTCTATCTACCTTATTTACTTTTCCATCACGTCCAGAATAGAAAACCATGAACTATTATGAATAAGTTCTGCTAACTTAATGGAAAAGCAACATGTCAGAGAGAAAAGTAACATTTAACATAACCTTAAAAAATTGCCCTGCTGGGGTAACAGGAAGCATTGAAAGTCTATGAATACGCATTGCATGCATGATTTTGTCTCTGACCATTTTGTTTGGCTTATAACATTTACCTTTCTCACCTTTCCCCAGTTCATCCCGGAGATGATCTGAAAGAAGAGAACACACCTGTCAAGGAGTCGGATCTAAAAGGCAATAGAAAGCAGTTTTGTCCAAACACCTTGAACTCAGCAGCCCTCAATCTTATATGCTCTGTATGTCTTACTCATAAGAATATAGGAACAGCTCTGCTGATTCAGACCCAGCCGTTCAGACAATGGCTAATCAGATGCCTCTGGGCAGGGATCTGACCCTTTCTCTGTAATATAGGTAGACCTCGATTTACCACCACAATTGAGTCCAAAATTTCCACTGCTAAGCAAGACGGTTGTTAAGTGAATTTTGCCCCATTTTGAGACTGTTCTTGGTACAGTTGTTAACTGTATCACTGCAGTTTTAAGTTAGTAACACAGTTGTTAAATGAATCTGGCTTTTCCATTGACTTTGCTTGTCAGAAGTTCACCAAAGGGGATCACATGACCCCAGGATACCGCAACCGTCATAAATACATGCCAGTTGGAAGAGTCCAAATTTTGATCACATGACCACGACAATGTTGTAATGATCGTAAGTGTGGAAAACAGTCATAAATCACCAGTTCAATGCCATTATAACTTCAAACAGTCACTAAACATATGGTTGTGAGTCAAGGACTACCTGTACTTCCCTGGGTATTTGCAGATAAACTGCCTTCAGCTCAGAGATACGTTGACTCTTCAAGACTAAAGGCCCTTGATATGGGAGACCCATCCTCTATAAATTAGCCAACTCTTCTAAAAGTAGCCATTACCATGTTTTGTGGAAATGAATTCCACAGATTCATGAGATCCCCCAGCATCCTAGCAACAGAATATTATTTTCAGTCTGGCCACCATAATATTAGGAATGAAGATCGCTGGCCCATTTCAGGGCCATACTACAATCCCATCTAACTATCAAAGCTTCTTCTTGAACATCACTCTCAAAAGCAGACTACTATATGCTTGAGGAGAATGGTGTGTGATAAAACTAGATAAGAGGCCTACCCTGTTGTAAAACCTATTAGTAAAGGCATACAGTTGGATGTCAAGTTGGAAGTATAGAATGTTATTACTATTTACTCTACTAATATAATTTATTTAAAAGTACTTTTCTAGTAAGATGTATAAAAGGATAGCCTTATCCACTTTTATATCATGCAAAATCTCTAACATAAATATAACATGATTTTATCATACTTGTGTAATTTTCACTCTAGCTTAAGTGTTAAATTTAACTGCAGTTGAGCTAATTAGTTAATTTCCTTTTTTCCAAGCACAGCTATATAATATATGAACAGAGTACAGAGAAGAGCAACTAAGATGATCAGGGGACTGGAGGCTAAAGCATATAAGGAACGGTTGCTGGAACTGGGTATGTCTAGTCTAATGAAGAGAAGGACGAGGGGGGACATGAGAGCAGTGTTCCAATGTCTCAGGGGCCGCCACAAAGAAGAGGGAGCCAAGCTACTCTCCAAAGCATCTGAGGGCAGGACAAGAAGCAATGGAGGGAAACTAACCAAAGAGAGAAGCAACCTAGAACAAAGGAGAAACTTCCTGACAGTTAGAACAATTAACCAGTGGAACAACCTGCCTCCAGAAGCGGTGAATGCTCCAACACTGGAAGTTTTTAAGAAGAGACTGGACAGCCATTTGTCCGAAATAGTATAGGATTTCCTACCTGAGCAGGGGGTTGGACTAGATGACCTCCAAGGTCCCTTCCAACATCATCATCATCATCATCATCATTATTATTAAATGAACGATCAAGTAATTCTTGTTATTCTTTGCCAGCATCAGAACTTCCATGCCCCGAGTTTCTTTAGATGCTAAAATAATTAGGTTTTCTTGGCAAGTGTTCATTTTCTCTACCTTTGAACTTCTTAAGTGCTCCATTGAGTGCCACCGTCTTCAGAGAGAAGTTTGAGATGTGGCCCTTCATGTCAGAGGAAACTGGAATAGGCTTCTGACATTTAACATTGTCACTTCTAACAAACAAGAAAAAGAAGGATATCAGGACTGATAACTGTATTATCCCAAACTTTCCCTCATCGTTCAGGACAATTGGCAAGTTTGAGGTTTTAGCAGCCTGTTATTTCTCACCTGCGCTTTTGATCTGAGTGAAAATTTAATGGCCAAAGAACAGAGGAAACATTTGTAATGCACCCAAGCTCTTTGGCTCTAAGTAAATTTCAGATTTTGCATTTTTTTTCAAGTAGACAAAAAGACCTTCAGATAGATTCTTCAAGGACCCATTACTGGTTATTTCACACTTTTGGGAAAGAAAGGTTGAAATCATCTCAAATTTAAGCTACCCTTCCCTCAGCTTGGTGTTTGTTTGATTGGCTGATTAAATAACATCAACTTGAGAGTAGATTCCTAGGAATTACATGGATAGATTCTCTCCAGGATGACCCAACCTGGGGCTCTCCAGATACATGAAGACAATTTCCAGAATTTCTTTCCGGTAAAGCCACTTCTGGAAGTTCTAAAATAGTCCGAGAATGCTTGCTTGGGAAGACTCACATATTGTAAAACAATAGTGCAGCCATATTCCAAAAAGTGGGTGGGTCAGGAAAAACCTTTCTATAACTTAACTTCATGTGAATTTACTTGCATTCACATGTTTAAACAATTTTCCCAAATTACAGCCTGATGTCAACTTTCATTGGCGTTCTGGAAGCCACATGCTCGGATTTGCATATTTATTTTTATACTAGCTGTACCCGGCCATGCGTTGCTGTGGCTCAGTCTGGTTAAATGGAAAAGAAAGAAAAGAGAAAGCGCACGTTTGTAATATGTTTAATTTCACAATGCTAGCGTGTGTTGCTTTTACGTCCAACAGATGGCGCTGTTTTTCAAAAAAAGCATGTTTTTACCTGTCACAGGTGTGGCATCTATATAATAGTAGGTATATAAAAACACGTGCGTACTCGAATGCAACGTTGTGTCAAAATTTCAAAGCAATCGGTGAAGAACTTTCGGAGATTTAAGATTTTGAACATACGAACATTTACATTTTTATTTATATAGATGAGCAGTGGTGGCGCAGTGGTTAGAATGCAGTATTGCAGACTAATTCTGTTGACTGCCAGTTGTTCAATTCTGACTGGTTCAAAGTTGACTCAGCCTTCCATCCTTCTGAGGTCCGTAAAATCAGGACCCAGATTGTTGGGGGGCAATAGGCTGACTCTGTAAACCGCTTAAAGAGGTAAAGTGGTAAAGCTCTGTGAAGCAGTATATAAGTCTAAGTAAGTGCTATTGTTATTGCTTGTGGAGCTAAGACAAGTTGGGCAACCTTGGCGAAAGCAAAAGTTTTAAACTGGAGCAAACTCAAACTCTCTGAATACATACAAGTCACTCTTCACATCCCCATATTTCAATCTGGCTCCTGCTAGCTCCACTGCATATATAGATGAAGGAAACTTAAGACTTGCAGAGCAGAAGAGTATCTTATTTCCATACAAATAAGACATCAACAGCCTAGGATTATTAACCCTGATCCAAGGGGGCTGGGCCACAGCATGTAATAATAATAATAAAGTTGGAACAGCTGTCACTGACTTTTTCATTTGTTCATACACAAAGGGAAAGAGAAGGTGGAAATGCAGCTTCATACCTGGCAATAGTAATTGTCACATCCTACAAGAGAGAGAGAGAGAAAAGAACAGAGGATTAGGGAAAGAGATGTCCTTACCTATTGTACTACTAACTGGGAATTCCACTCATCAACTACGAGTCTTTTGATGGGGCCACCAAGAAAGGAGACTTGACTGCAATTAACTAAGATCTCAGCCTTCTTTGTATTGGCCCCACAAGCTGTGGAATTCCATCCTCACTAGAAGTATAAGTAGTCCTCATTTAGTGACTACAATTGGAACCCACAACTCAGTCGTTAATCAAAGCAGTCGCTAAGTGAAACTGCAACAGTGCTTATGATCTTACTTCAGCTTTCCTTTGCTTTACAGATCTGTGAAGATCGTAAATTTACTTTTTCATCAGCCCTAAGTGTGAACAATTGTTAAACAAGGCCTACCTCTATGATTTTAGCAGTCATTACTTTTAAATGTAGTCTGAAAATTATTATAAAAATTGTATTTTTATAAGCTGGCATTTCTTTCCTCAAGTACTTTTTACATTATGTAGCAATGTATTTTTAATATTCTGATAGCCTGCCTTTATTATTACTGACTTCTAGACCTAATTCATTTTCACTAAAAGGTTGATTTTATTTAGTACTGTAAACCACTGCAGGCAATTTGAAAAATGAATAAATGATACATTTGCCATATTTCTCCCTACTCTTCTACTAGTCTTGTTGCTTTTTGGTATTTGCTTTGAGGAGGACATGTGGCTTAGTCAAGTAATCACGAAAAGCTTCCTATAACATTCCTGATAAAGTAGAACCAATTCAGCTTTCTCTGAGTTGTCACGAAATCAGATGGACATTGAATCTTTCCAGGGAAAAAGCTGCAGAATATTCAATATACCTCCCTCTGCACTTTCCACCACGATCCTTAAGTACAGTAAGCTATTAATAGATACCATGCGCACTTAAGGGGACCTTAACCTTAATTTCTCCAGAGCAACCATCTCCAGAAAAGAATGTGGCAGTCTTTAAATAGTCATAAGAAACTCTATAGTATGGAAACATCAGGTGTAACATGAGAGTAGTGCTCCTGGCAAAAACCTAACGCCAGGGAGAACTACTTTTTATTTTTCAAATTTCAAGCGGCAAAGATAGAAGTGTTTATTCAGTATAAATACAAACAACCCCCGACCTATATTTGAGAAAGCTGTTGAATTAAAGTCTCCAGCCTGCAGATAAATCTATCAATTCCTAGAACTGTTAAAACATTGGGGGGGAAACTGCCCCTAGTTCATGGACAAATAAAACACTCAGTTCATTTAGATCAGTGTTTTTCAATCTTGACAACTTTAAGATGGGTGGACATGCTGGCTGGGAATTCTGGGAGTTGAAGTCCACTCATCTTAAAGTTGCCATTTATTTAAACACTGGTTTAAATAAATTAGAAAATACAAGCAATTTTCCCTCTTCCTAAAACATTACCCAAGTAAGCAGACAGTTTCTCTTTTATATACTATTTGATCCCTGTTTACTGATGCATGCAAGTACATAAATGCTGTTTCCTTGATCAGCAGGATTCTATGATACTCTCCTAGAATTGTGTAATTTTTAACCTGGTCAGCTCTATTATGCCGCTGATGTAATTTCTGTAAAATTTAAAGTATTTAGGTAGAAAGCAGCATGCATATAATTTGCCCCAAACATATCCAGTTGAAAAGACTTCAGATAACATATTAGTAAATCCAACTAGTAAATCATCTTCGTTATTGAAACTAAGCCCTATTAGATTCAGCCACAGAGTGTCTAGCTAGTCACTAAATTGCCGCATTGTTAATGTGGTTGAGTAAACCATAGCTAAGTTTTCTCAACACCTAGTGGTATGTGCTAAAACAAAAAGACCTGATGTTACACAAAATTTCTACGTTTATCTGTTGTTGAGTTTTACCTTGAGGAAATCAAGCAATGGTTCTTGGATTTTGTCTTCCAGATCAGCAATGAATTTGTTGAGGAGGGAAATTTCCTTGGACAGCTCTGTGATGTTTTCATTCTGTCTTTTCACGATGCCCTTCTCCATCTTGTCCAGCTGTCCAAGGAGAATCTGTTCTTGTTCATGAAGAAACTGGCGTAGCCCTTCAAATTCAGAAAGGACCTTCTGTCTCTCAGTTTCTATGGTTTTCTTTTTTAAAAAAAGTCAAAGAGAGAAGGTGAGGAAGAAGAAGACAATTATCCTTCAGGAATTATCACTGGAATAGACTTCCCAATTTAATCACCCACCATGCTTTGCAAACTAATAACAATAGCACTTGTATACCTCTTCACAGTGCTTTACAGCCCTCTCTAAGCAGTTTACAGAATCAGCATATTATCCTCAATGATCTGGGTCCTCATTTTACTGACCTAGGAAGGATGGAAGGCTGAATCAACCTTGAGCTGGTCAGGATCGAACTGCTGGCAGTTGGTAGAATTAGCCTGCAATACTGCATTCTGACTACTGCACCACCTCAGCTCTATCTATCAATACAGCTGAAGAACATCAGTTTCAGTGAGACTAGCCTAAAACCAGAATACATCAGTCCTCGACTTATGACCAAAATTGAGCCGAAAATTTCTATTGCTAAGTGAGACATTTGTTAAGTGACTTTTGCCCCATTTTACGACCTTTCTTTTCACAGTTGTTAAGTAGATCCCTGCAGTTGTTAAGTTAATAACATAGTTGTTAAGTGAAATCTGGCTTCCCCATTGATTTTGCTTGTCAGAAATTCATAAAAGATGATCATATGACTCCAGGACACTGCAAGCATCATAAATATGAGTCAGTTTCCAAATGTTTGAATTTTGATCACGTGACCATGGGTATGCTGCAATGGTCATAAGTGTGAAAAACGGTCATAAATCATTTTTTATTGTTGTTGTAACTTTGAACAGTCACTAAATGAACTATTGTAAGTCGAGGACTATCTGTATTTCCCACTGATGCTAGACTATGAGATTAGATGACAGGGAAAAACTTCTTGATTAAGGAAGGGAAGAAAATTGGGCTGGTGTAACTTCATCCTTGGGATACCAATAGGGTGACAAAAATTGGCCCCATGCAAATTTCCTCTTTTGCTCATCTGAATGTAAGAGATTTGCCTTCTGGCTAGGCTCACAATGTCCACAATGCAATTATATAGGTTGCAGACCTATATAATCAGGATATACTGTAGCTGTGCCCCTGTGAAGGATTCTTTTGCGAAATTATGAGTTGTGTGCTGAGCTGTAGAACTTATCTTTAGAAATTCAGACATCAGCTCTAGACTTCAATACTTTATTTCTTTTATAATCAACCTCTTTATTACTTAATAATAAAGTCAGTCATAAATCAAGGACTACCTGTAATACAGTATATGAATGCCCTATAGGTAGAAAAGCAAGATATAAATTGAATTATATAAATAAATGTTTCTCAAAGAAGTCTCCAGTCTGTTCCTGAGGGGAAGCTCTCCTACAGGATGTTGATATATTATTCTACTTACATCCTGCTTTTCAAAGAACTACTAGGAGCAGATAACATACAGTGGCATGTTTTATTATTCCACCTCAGTATGTGGAAATAGGGACACAGTGCTTCTGAGCATGGAAGTCTCATGCCTGATTTGTGGTTGTGACATTAATAAACTCAAAGGGTTTTAGCCCTTTAAATTCAGAGAGGACCTTTTGATTCTCGGTTTCTGTGGTTTTCTTTTTAAAAAAAGTCAAAGATGACTGAGAATCTCCATAGACATTAATAAACATAATATCCTTCTTGAAGATTTTCTTCAAATATCTTGAGTCACATATCTGCATCTGATTGAACAATGCTGCACAAGCTTGCCAATTTCTGAGTAACAATAAATACCTACCAGCAATTCTTGGCTCTTCTTGTCATCCTGAGTTTTGAATTCCAGGAGTTCTTGTCTCTCTTTCTTCAAGAAATCCAAGCGAGTCTGTATTTGTTCCTAAGGTCCAAAGTATACAGTTAGGTTTTTTTTAAAAAGCTTTAACAATTTTGAGGCAATCAAGATTTGTCCTGCTGAGAAGATTCCATGCACCCACAGGAAAAAATATGAGTCTGTGAACAATGAATGTTAGGAAGCCCCTAGCTATAATGATTTATGCCATTACATCAACTATTAAATAGCATATTCTGGCATACTCTTATTTATTGTGTAACATTTTACTATTATTTCAGTGTATTGTGGTAAGCCGCTATGAGTCGAAGGAAGGAAGGAAGGAAGACATTGCCATGGTCTTTGCTATATTGAACTATAAATATAATTTCTATAGAATTCATATTCTAAATGACTTTTAGTGAAACAATTCAGTGGCCAAATCTTCTTGGATGTTGTAATACAGGGGTCCTTAAATCCTGGGCTGAGGCCCACTATCGGGCCATGGCCTGTCCAGAACTAGGCCCTACGAGTGGCTGGCCAGCACACAGGCAATTTGACCTGCATGAGTAGTGGGCCAGCATGCATGCATTTGCAGCTCAACTTGCATGAGAGGAGGCCCAGCATGGCCCACCATTTGTATGGCCAATCCCCTCTTCCTCTCCTGCCACCAGGCCGCCAAGCTATAAATGTTGGGGACCACTGTTTTAATATATAGATAGAGCTATTATTTTACCTATAGAAGAGCTCAAGTGCAATCTTACTGATTTCCAAGGAAAATATTTGTGCAGGAAACTCACAAGAGCCACACTAGGAAGTGTAATGAATAGGTTTGTCTAAGATGGGGCTCTAGTCTGACTTGGCATAAGGCAGTTGCACACAAACTTTGGTAGAGTTGACTTGCTATAGGACACTTTACAATGAAAAAGAGTTGAACTGGGATTGGACCCAGACATCAAAAATAATATAGGTTGTGTGTGCCCAGTATGCTTAAATAAATTCCTAGTGAAATTTCTGCATCACACGAGCTTCAAAACCTAGTCTGTTTGATCACAACCCCCCATCAAACCCAACACCACTCAACAGAAATTAAGGTTTTTATAGTTTGGTGATCTGGAAGGCACTGAAATGGGGAAGGCTGATTTAAAGCATAAGCCTGCCTTAAATCACTAATCTTCTCTATGCTATAGAGATTAAGGTTGGATTTCTGTACCTGGAGGCAAATGCAGACATTTGAAATTCATTTTCTAAGATGGCTGCCTTAAAGTAAAAGTAAAAATAGGAGGAGATCCAGTTGACCGATCTTTCTTACTGTGGTGATTCAATTGGTGCTTTCTAGCTAGAGAGAGGAATGGGGAAGGGATTCCCTGGGCTTTGAAATGGAAGAAGAGAGAGGAAGTACACAAGTTTTCTCCCAGAGGAATAATTATTCCTGAAAGGATGATGTAGGTAGCCAGCTGCAAGAGTCTCTATTAGAGTGAAAAGATCCTCCTCCTTGCCAGATCTCAGGAAGACTCTTAGAAACAAAATTAAGGACTCCCCACGTATAGAGAGATTCTAAATGAGAAATAGTTGAGCTGCCCAAATTATAGAAACCATCTTTCTTCTCAATGAATCTTGCTAAACAGACTCTCTGCAAAGTGCAGATAGTCCTTAACTGACAACAGTTTAATGACCAGAGTTACAACATCACTGAAGAAAGTGGCTTATGGCTATTTTTCACACTTACAACCGTTGCAGCATCCCCATGATCATGTGATCAAAATTCAGATGCTTGGCAACTGGCATGTACTTATGACAGTTGCAGTATCCCAGGGTCATGTGATCACCTTTTGCCACCCTCTCACAAGCAAAGTCAATGGGGAAGCCAGATTGACTTAACAACCATTTTTACTAACTGAACAACTGCAGTCATTCACTTAATAACTGTGGCAAGAAAAGTCATAAAATGGGCAAAGCTCACTTAACTACTGTCTCTGCTCAATTGTGGCCATAGGTCCAGGACTATCTATACATTTCTTCATATGACATTTGTAGAAAAAGAAAGATTGCAGAATGTAATGCGAAGGCCCTCAAGCTTACATATGAAATTAGTTTCTCAATTCTTCTCAGGAGTGCATCAGCTCATCTGCTCTTGTCATCTCATCAGTTGCAGTTTCTATTTTTAACTGGATATTTGCACCAGGGTCATTAAGAACATGCCTGGCTCCTGCCCTCCAGAGAATCAGTGTCAGTCTGAGATCTTGTGCCAACTTTGGGAAGGTTTCCTTCCAGAAATAGATTAGGAATTTGGTTCTTCACTTAACCATTTCTTGCCTGGCATGGACTGTCCCAATGACTACAGGTTTGCAATCAGCCCATCTGGCAATTCCTATTTTGTTATTCCAAAATCATTTACTCCAAATGGAGATTAGAACTCATCTGTAGGCAGCTTTAGAAATTTATATATTAAAATTGCAGGCTTCATATTTTGTTACTAACTTACTTTCTCTACTATTTAAAAATGTATTACTTTCAATAACTATTAAAGAATTGGGGGACAAGAAAGGCAGAACCATGGCACAGCTTTATTTATCCTGGTGGCATAAATTATTTCTCTCCTTCCTTCCTTCCTTCCTTCCTTCCTTCCTTCCTTCCTTCCTTCCTTCCTTCCTTCCTTCCTTCCTTCCTTCCTTCCTTCCCTCCTTCCTTCCTCCCTCCCTCCCTTCCTTCCTTCCTTCTAAACTGTGATTATAGCCATTGGGTCAAAACAGGATGTTTTTCTGACTTTAACTCTTAAAAGCCAATTTGAATGTTTTCAGGTGATTTTAGTAATCCTGCTAAATGGAGTAAGGCAGTAGTTCTCAACTTTTTCATTACCATGGACCCCTTTAAATACCATTTGTGGCCATGGACCATGGCCATGGACAACCAACATTTAAATTATAAGATTTCTTCAAGCTTTTGCAGGTCCCTATGATGACATCATGCCCCAGCCAGGAGTCCATGGACCGCAGGTTGAGAACCACTGAAGTAAGGAATGAGTATATTGACAATACAAGGTAGTCATTGCTACTGTAGTGAAGAACCTTGTGATATTTTTGAGATGAACAAATGTCCATATGGAATAATATATATAATATATTATATATATAAGAATATAATATATTAAGACTGTACAAGCATCTACCCTGATTTTAATGCAAGGGAGTAAAAGGGTTATCTCTCTGGGAGCAAATGTTCACAAACTGTTATTTTTGTTATTATTTTGTTTACCTTTGCAGAACAGAAAAAAATGGAAATGGAAAACTGTGGAAAATGAAAAATGGAAAACTGGGTTTGGTCTTCAAACATAAATAAAATTTTGAATGGAAAACATACCTAATCTTTGTGCTTTAAGGCGCAATCAGCTCCTCTCTTTGTCCCCTATCTAAAAAGGGTTGAGGAAAAGTTCTGCCTATTCAGTATGGGGATATCCAGGGAGCTAAATCTGCTCCTCCCCCTGAAAATCCCAACTCACAACATCCAGGACCTGGTGTCCTGCAAGGTTTCCCTGTCCAGCCAGCCTGCAGAACCTCTGCTTGACCCAGCTGGCAGACTGAGCAGCCTCAGCTCTTCTGACCCTCAGGGGTTTTGATGGGCTTTGCTGACCTCTTCCCTCCACCACCCCCTGCAACTTTTAACCCTATAAAGGGAAATATATGGGCAGGAACCAGCCACAGACCTCATGTGAGGTTCAGTCCTTGGAAGAGAATGATCCAGGGGCCATTCGTTTTGCCCAGTGCTGAAGACTAAAACAATTCCATTACTTTTCAATAGACATGATTGAACCTGGCTTAATTTGAAACAAAACCTAGGGATAGCTATGGAACTTAATTCCAGGTGGGAATCATACTGTATAACCCCTGCCCACCCACTGAGGCCTCGTGTATAGAGTTTTACACGGGATCCAAGTGAATCTATCCTCCATTTGAAATCTTCTTGGTTTTCCCATCACAGGAGTACAGTGGTTGAACTTTTGGAAAGGAACCAAGATAATGATCTAAATCCAAACTGCGACTACAGTGACTTTTTCAGCCATTATTGTATTTCAGGCCACCATTCTGGGTTTCTGCTTTCGGGTCAAATCCCCATGTATCCTCCCTTAAGCTTTTAGAGGAAAGGAGGGATATTAATGGAAGAAATCAAAAGGAAATACAGAAAGGTTAGCAATGATTTTTTATAGGTAATATTTGGAAGTTTTGTGCATACCATTATTTTTTCTCAAGATTGCTTCCCTTCTACTGGATTTTTTTTTTCTGGAAAAATTAAGGAACATAGAAGGACTGTTGACGTTTGCATAACATACGTAGACTAAAATAGGATTTTCTGGTTCAGCAGATATAAGAAGCTAGCCATTGGCTTGGCTGCATGTTGGATGAAACAGGCCATCCATCCCATTAAACCAGAGCATGTACTGGGAATATAGCAGGTTTAGGGTTTAGCATGATGTCTGAACCTACAGTAGCTGTTGGGTCAACTCTCAGCATGCTATTGTTGACATTCAATAGCTCCTCAAGGTTAAAGCGATGGGCTTGGAGATCCCTGGAACTGAATGAGGACCTTCTCCATGGAAGCTCATGCCCAGCCCCTTGGTAGTTTTCAGCAAAGAACAGGTACAATGTGGAAAGGCTTTCGAGACAGGTAGACTTGAGACATTTGTAAAACTGAGAAGAATATTTGTGCATACCTTGTATTCCTGGGCTGCCTCTTCTACAGGCACCACTGCATGAGGCCGGTGGTCCCGAGACCGATCACACACCACACAAATGGTCTTCTGGTCATCTTTGCAGTAAAGCTTCAGGGCTTCCTTATGCTTCTCACAGATCCTGTCCTCCTCAAGGCCTCTCCCACCATGCAGGATGAACTGGCTGATGATCTCAGACATGTTGGCCAGTTGTCGGTTGGGCCTGAGGCTTTTCTCCTTGAATACTTCCCTGCACTGGGGGCAAGGGAAGTCCACCTCCAGGCTCTTCCAGCTCTTGGTGATACAAACCCGGCAGAAATTGTGCCCACATTGGATGGAGACAGGGTCTTTGAAATATTCCAGGCAAACCGAGCAAGTGGCTTCATCTTGAAGGTTTCCTGGGAGGAGGACGGCAGCCATGGCTCCACCAATGTCCCCTTCTCCTTCTTCTCTTCCTGCTTTCACTGCAGCATACAGAGCACGAATGCTGGGCACAAAACCCAGGGCAGGGGTTTCTGTGCCAGAAGCCAGCTGGTGTTGCAAGGTCATCTCTGAAGCTTCTGGTTTCTTACTTGGCAATGAATCAGCTCCTGGACAAGATGAGAAATGCTAAGGGTTCTTCAGAGTTTAGAGAAGAAGGAAAACCAGAGCAGGAGTTTTCATTAGGCTTCATTAAGTTTGGAGAGACAGAAGGGATGTTTCCAGATTCCTCGTGACTCATATTGTTTTTCAGTCCAGGATGACAGCAGAGGTTAATTTTTAACATTAGTGCTGAGAAGCTTCAGTTGGCTAGCAAAGTCGTTCCTTTTGACCTAGAAACCGATCCTGCTAACCCACTTGAATAAACTTCATTTTTAATAACCAGCAATTGGGGAAGATCCAGAAAAAGTCACCACAGCCACCAAACAACCTGATTTTGCACTGATTTTAAATTTATGTCATTTTAAGATAATTGCAATACAAGTGTAGGCAAAGCAAGAGGAAAAACTCTGAAGATGGATGTCCTCGTTCATGCAACAATGTTCACTGTCCCCTATTAATAGGGAAGCTTATGCATTGCTATGACAATGTTTGAAGTGTCGAAAAACATTCTGCGCATCCTCAGATGCACCAGTTTCTAATTTTTTAAATTCAAGAACTGGGTCTAACAATTGTGTAAATTGGAAGTATGACAATTGGTAGAAAAATAATTAAATTCTGATACATTGACTAGACTGTTTAGACCAGTGTTTCTCAACCTCAGCAATTTTAAGCTATGGGGTTTTCAATTCCCAGAATTCCCCAGCCAGCAGGCGGCTCAGATTTCCTTTCTAACAACAGCGCCCACTGTTCATGTCCTTCTTTTGCATGTGTTTCAACTGTGTTTGCCAATGAAATTGTGTTCACTAATGTCACAGTTTTTTCTGATTGTGAACATTTAAAACTCACTGTGATCAAATCCCTGTGCTTCCTGTGGAAACTTTACAACCAAGTTCCCTTTGTTCTGTACAGAATAAAGCAATTAAAGAGATTTTCCAACTTGTGTGCTTGATTGGTTTTACATGCCAGGCATAAATTTATTTATTTATTTATTTATTATTCCAATTTGTATCCCGCCCTTCTCCCGAAGGACTCAGGGCGGCTCACAACATTATTAAAAACAAAGAAAGACCCACACACCCCACCGAATAAAACCAAATTAAAACCAATATTTTAGTGTTGTGATAATTAAAATTTCTAAAAAACCCAATTTAAAAATCCTCCCTAGGCCAGGCCCGCTTGT